AAATGGATCACCATGCCCTCCAGAGTCTTGCTTGTATATTCCAGGGCAAAGAGCCCCATTTGGGTTTAGGGGGTGATTGATAGGATGAAGAAGAGGTAAGAGGTGAGGCTGGCCCTAGCTTGTCTGGAGATTCCCTCAGTTAGTTAAACAGTCACAGCTGTTAGAACCACTGAAGAAACTACATGAGCCATGGAAGGGAGAGCTTGCTGGCTAATTTCCTCAGGGACTTCATTGCCGCATAAATAAATTGAATTAGATAGTATCTAAGGTAACTTCCAGCTCCAAATCTATAATTTTGTGAATTTCCCAAGGTTATTTCAAATATTGCCATCTTGAGAATGAATTGTAGATATAGCCTGTATTCAAGTTAATAAGCAATGTTCCTAGTTCAGACATTTTTTTTGACTGTTAGAAGTAAAATGTTCAAAGAATAAGAAACCTTAAAGTTATTTAGTTTGAACCATTCATTTTATAGATGGGGAAACTGAGTTTCAAAGAAGTAAAGTGACTTGTCCAGGATGATAATTAATGAATAACCTGGGTGGGATTTGAACCTCAGTCCACTGCCCCTCACTGCACCACTTTTTGTTGTCTCTAGTACCCTGCTACCTTCCTGTGCACAAGGCCTCTATCTTGGCCTGAGCAATGATGAATCTAGGGCTCTGTGTCCACATTTTTCTGTTTTCCTCAAGCTTCTTTATGGAAAATGGTAAAAGGTCTCTAAATTCAGAGGTGGTTTGAAAGAGCAGCCAGAGATGTTCCTGACTGAGATGAGAATATTTGAGCAGTGGGAGGCTCTTTCTGTGTTGAGTCTCAATCTGCCCTCTGTGATTGCTACTTGTGAGAATAACTATGTTAATGCTCATGTATTTTTCTCCTCATGTGTTCCTCCTTCATGGTGAAAAGAAAATCAAAGAAAAGGCTTCCTCACCTAATCCCCTTGCTGCTCCCTGCGATGCCCTGATTTCCCTGCTTTGAATCATCCACCCCAGGGGTCAGCAGAGGGACTATGGGGACATCATCTGCCTGGTTATCTGAGTGACCTAGGGAATAAGAGCAGAGCACTGCCTTGCTTGAATTTTTACAAAATCATTTCTTGTCTTTGTTGCAACCTTGGAAGCCCATTATGGAAAACTGAATGTATTTTTCGGGCTCCACCAGAGATGAAGGGTTAATCCAAAAGAGCAACATGTGATTCTAGAAGGAGCTCGGGGAGAAAAGGGATCACTCTTTCCTGTGCCCCCTTGGATTACTGCCCCTTAGTATTTCTGTCATCTTCCTGCTACCCTTGGGACTGTTTGTTTCATGAGAAAAAAACCACAACCTCAGGCTTGAGCAGGGGAATATGAGAAGGTCTGTGTAAGGAATGACAAGAGTCAGGACAGCTTCGGATGTTGTCACACTGACATATTTCACCATCATTGGCATCGGGGATATAAGCTAGAGTTGCATCAACCTCCTGGTCTTTCTCCTCCTCTTCCAAACTGAGTTTTAAATCCCTCCCCCCCAAACCTTTCTTGGCACTTTATTACTTTCTCTCTTTCTCACTAACACCTGGGCCATATTATTTCAGAGTCTCACAAGTCATGTTCTTAGGGACCACCAGGACCATAGGGTCCCCTATGATTACCAAAAGTAAAACAATTGCCCTGTTTCACCAACCAGCACATTTCTTTTATCTTCCTAGATGTTCCTGAATCCTTAAAGGTGAGACAGAAGTGTGGCGATCAGAGGTGGAGGGCTACCCCCTCCATGAGACCTGATTCACTTTCAGCAAGTACAAAGGGAGGATGATTGATCCTATGAGCCCACAGGGCAAGGCTAAATGCAGAGCACACACCCTCCTAAAACACTCACCGAAGACAGGATTGGAAAAAAGCTGACTGAGAAGTATCCCACAAAGCACCTTTGCTAAGCTTCTGAGAATGGGAAACCAACCAGAAGCTCATTATCCGCAACTCTTTATTAAAGCAGAAAGTCTTTATTCCTGGTCCTAGAGGCTTGCTCAGTGAAAGGCAAGGTGAGTTCCTAGGTATACACTTTGAATCTCCTTCTATTTAAGATCCACACATGCCCCCTGGGCCCAGGGTCTCCAGCATCCTTCTTCCCCTTTAAAGGCATTTGTGGGGAATTTTATCTTTAACAAAGGAAGGAAAAAGTGTGAGAGCATCTTATGTATGTGACTGTGTCTCCTGGCCATTGCTTGTTCTGTATCTCTCAGGCAGCCATGGGGCTTTTTAGTAACTGAGGATAATAATTTCCAAGATTAATGTAGGCTCAGTGCCCTAGTGGTCAGACATGTTCTTTCCTTCCTCCCTCCTCCATTATTTTGGAGCAAAAATTTCTGCTTTTGGGGAGGAGGCAGTGGGAAGGGGATGAGACTTATGGGAGTAATTTCAGAGATTATGCCACCTGAAGAGCCAGCAGGCACTTACTAGTTTATTCTGATATCAAGCGCTGCCCTCCCCCTCCCCTAGCATTGTTTCATCCCTCATTTTCTAGAAACAGAGAAATGGGATTTATATTCAGAGTGATTATTACACACATCTCAGAGGGCCTGGTTTCTCCTTCATTAATGTTGCATTCACAATGACCAGCCTCTCTTCATTCTGTTTGCTATCATGTTCCATAAATATCACAGGGGATTCTGCTCTGGCAGCATCCACTGGGGGGAGGGGAAGAGAAAGGAGAAGGAGGACGGCCAGAAACATGCTTACAGGTTGCATGCCTCCTGTTCTTTGAGCCAGAAGCTCATGGATTTGTAATCAGTGATTGTCTTAAGGACACGATTCCTCAGTTACCAGAGTAGAACAAGAAACCCAGATTGTAATTCTCTCTTCCTTTCCTGGAAGCTGCCGCCAGGGTGCTCATGTGTGTGCACTGAGACACTCCAAAGCAGAAGAGTGCTTTCCCATTGGCTAAATTGCACTCCCTTCATATTTAGGAATCATTAGAGAGAGAGAACTGTTTTAATCTCAGTTTCTCCTTCCCTGGGATTTGCTGGCCTGGGAAGGATTGTAAGCTGAGCCTAGGAGGTAGAAATTCACCTTGAGGTATAGAGTACATATTCCACAAGCTCAACATCTCAACAGATATATTAAAAAGTTGCTCCTAGAATGGGTGGGGAGTCAAAAACTAGGTTTCTTTGAAAGCATCCCCCTTCCTTCTCCCACCCCCCCTTTTGGAGAAGAAAATTTCGATTACAATGGGCAGTGTGGGAGAGTGGCCTCAGAGTCAGGAAAATATGACTTCAAATCCTGCTTCTGAGGGGGAGCTAGGTGGCGCAGTGGATAGAGCACCCGCCCTGAAGTCAGGAGGACCTGAGTTCAAATCTGGCCTCAGACCAAACACTTGACACTTGCTAGCTGTGTGACCCTGGGCAAGTCACTTAACCCCAATTGCCTAAAAAAAAAATAATAAAAATCCTGCTTCTGACACTTATTATATGTGACCTCATACAAGTCACTCTCCCTCTCCCAAACCCAAGTTTTCCCATTTGCTAAATAAAGGAGTTGGACTGGATTGTCTCTAAATTCTTTTCACCTTTAGATCTATGATTGTAGGTATGACTTTAGGAAACCCCCTTTCCCTCTCCAGACCTCAGTTTCTTCATCTATAAAATAAAGGTTGGACTTTCCAACTCTAAATATATGATCCTGCAATTCTTTGGAATTTCTTTAGGTACTGATGAATCAAGAAGCCATATGTTTGTGTGTGTGTGTGTGCGTGTGTATGAAAGAGAGATGAGAGACAGAGAGACAGAGATGGAAAGACAGAGACAGAGAGAAGAGAGACAGAGAGAGGAGACAGATACAGAGCTGGAAAGACAGAGAGCAAAGAGACAGAGAGATAAAGAGACACAGAGAGAGAGACACAGAGAAAGAGACAAATAGAAAGGTAAGAGGGGTGGAGAGAAAACATACAGCTAGATAGAGGACAGAAAGAGAGAGAGAAATAGACAGACAGGAAGAAAGAAAGAAAGACAGAAAGAGAAACAGAGTGAGAGACAGAGACAGAGAGAGAGAGCAAGAAATATCCCCCGAAGTTTGTGATGTTTGCATGTGAAAGTCACTTGGAGAAGCTGTTGTTAATTGCCCACAGAACTCATTGTGAAGATTTGCTTTGTCAATATCCATTCAGCTCAGTTCAGCAAAGGAGTGTCCATACACAAGGTACATCTGGGGCTATTTTCAGGTACCTAACATTCAGATGCCTCTAAGAGCACACATGCAGCACCCTGACATCCTTAGTTGTTAATTTCCTTTTCTCTAGTGACTTGTCACTTTGCAGAGGCTCTTGGAGCCTCACATCAGCCATCTGAAGAAGGCTGGGCAGGTATTATAATCCTATCTTTTCAGATCAAGAAATTGAAAGTGCAAGAGTTGTAGTGACTTGCCATGTGTCACCCAGCTCACAGGTGGGGCAGCTAGAGTTAGAGCTGCCTGGCCTGTGCTCACTCTCAGACTTCCCAGTCAAAGCCATGACCCCAAACCATCACCACAAAGGCTGAATTAAAGATCCCAGAAGGCTGTCCTGAATTCAAAGGTCCACCTTTGCCCTTTCATCCATCCTTTCACTGGAGTGAAACCAAACCCCCCATCTCCTTAATCTCTACTTTAAAATTAGGGAAACTTCCCTTGTTAAGGCTGACATCTATAGCACTACATAAAGGAAAGGAAAAAACAAATTTTTGTTTGTTTGTTTGAGGGAAGAAGATGTAGAGCTCAATTCCTAAAATGACTCCTAATTCATTTTTGACAATGGGACAAGAGTATAATCCTACCTGTACTCACAGGAAACCATATGCAAGCTCCTCTGCTTAAGACCTGCAGCAACCTGGTCACTGGGAATCCTTTGACTAATTTACAAACTTTAGGGTTGTTAGGACTTGAGAAGCCTTTGCTAAATATTCAGTCATTTTCTTTATGCTGTGAATTACTCTTGAAAGACAGTGTCAGATGGGCATGAAGATGAAGAGGACAAGAAAGCAGCCCACCTACCTTAAAGGAGTAGTAGAAAGAGCCCCACTTCTCTTCCTCCAGCACTTCAGGAAAAGTCACAGTCTCTGCACAAGTTGCCAGGGTGCTGGAATCCTGTGGTTCCATGGTCCCATTGACAGGCCAGCTGTCCTCTGTGACATTGACTTGCATCTCCTCAGGGAGCCCCTCCAATCCACCCTGCCCCTACTGACTTGCTGGTGACTGTGGCCAAGTCAGCATTGCCTGGCTCTCCCCTGAAGAGCCAGCAGCACATTCCAGCTCTGCATTGCCTCCACTGCGTACCACAGGCAAGCACAGGGCTTCAGCAGAGGCGAGTGAGCAGAGGCAGAGCTGGAGAGAAACCTTTCCTCAGGCACCTACCTCCTCACTGAGGGGGGTTCTGATGCCAGGGAGTTGGGGGCTGATTTGCTCCTGCCAGCTGGGTCCCCAGTCCTTCAGAAACCCAGCTATTCTACCCACCCACTCCCTTCTTTCCCTGATCCTCTCACCTCAGAAAATGCTTTTAGGTCTCATTTACCTGGAGACTGGGGACATGACAAGGCACAGGTCTCTCTTCTAGGGAGAGTCTTGGGTCACTGATCTGTTTTCTGACTTCAGAACTGTTCCTGTCCCTCCCCAGGCTTTGCCATTATAGACATCATCAGGATCGGGTTTTGGAAGAAGCGGTGGTCAATGCCTGTCTTAAACTCCTCATATCAACTGGGACCATGTATTTCTTTGAACTGAGGTCTGAGTGAATTGTGCTGCCCATTGTTAGACCTGGATCTGAGATGTCATAAATCCATGAACAGCAGATATAAGTGTTTTGGGGGTGAGAACAGAGGTGAGAAGGAGAAATTCAGTCTATTGTTGTTCAGTCATTTTAGTAATGACCAACTCATTGTGACCCCATTTAGGGTTTTCCTGGCAAAGATACTGGAGTGGTTTGGCATTCCCTTCTCCAGCTCATTTTACAGATGAGGAAACTGAGGCAAACAGGATTAAGTGACTTGCCCAGGGTCACACAACTAGTAATATCTGAGGCCAGATTTGAACTCAGGAAGATTTGCTCTCTGACTTCAGACCCAGAATTCTACTCACTACACCACCTGGCTGCCCTGATTCAGTTTACATTTTATCTCAAAGGCCATTCTCTGAGAACTAAAAACTTTTAATTCAGGAAGAATTGCATGGTACAATAGAAGGAATGCAGGATCTGGAATCAGAGCACTTGAGTTCAAATGCCAACTCTGCTACAATAATGTGTGATGCTCGCCAAGTCACTTCATTCTCAGTTTTCCCATGTGTAAAATGAGGGAATTGGCCTTGGTAGCATTTGAATTCCTTCCAGGCCTAAGCCTATGGTCCTATGATATCAGAAACCAATTGGCCCAGCAGCTATCTAACCAAAAATCCTCTCACCATCACACCCTATCAATGGTCATGTGGCCTTTGCTTGAAAACCTCCAGTGACGGGGAGCTCACTACTTCTGGAGGCAGCTTGTTCCACTTCATTCTCATTATTAAGAAGAGTTTGCTGACATTGAACCAAAATCTGCTTACACTAATCAGCCATTCATAGTTTTTTACTGCAAACAGGACCACAATGAATGAAATCTGCTCACACTGAAGAGCAGCATAGTCTCATGCATAGACAAGAGGCCTTGGAGCCAGGAAGGCTTGAGCTTAAGACTTTCCTCTAATAATCCTGCCTGTGGGATCCCAGATAAGCCACAGAAACTCTCCATGCCCCAGGCAACTGTGTTAGACTCTAAGTGGCAGCAAAGCATGGGCTGATCTCTTGGGAAAAGGAGCTTCTATCCTAGGTCTGGGCCAACAGGCCAGTGAGGAGTGCGTGCGTTAGGCCTATCTAGGATATTGTAGGTCTTCCCATCTCCATCCTGTCCTGTCTTAAAAGCTACCTTCTAGACCTGTGAGATCTAGATCAGCTATTATATGTGTAATCTGGCCATGCTACTCAGCTTTAATTTTATTCTTGAGTCAAATTCCAACTTTTTTACTTGGCACTCAAGGCCTTCACAGCCCATTACCGCCCTGCCTTTCCCACCTAATGTTGCATTACTCAATCTCTATATGTTTCACACTCTGACCAGATTGGACCCAGCTCTCTAACCCCTGAGCTCTCATGTTCATACTGTTCCTTGGGCATGAATTGTCCTCCTTTCACTCTTTTAACCTTATGAGCTCCCAAGCCTTAAAAAAAATCAACTGAAATGCTCCCTCCTCTAGGAATCATCCTCTGATGATTGGTGTCAACCTTCCACCTTGGCCCAAAGGCTGTTTTACCTGTGACACTACATACATGAGCTATGTGTGAAAGACATGTCTCAGCCTAGGAGAGTGTAAGCTCCTTGCAAACATTGTCTGACTCTTACCTAAACTTTGTATTTCCTTAACACTAGGCACAGGGAGGACTCTGTATACTGCAGGTGCTTAAGCAATATGTGTTCACTAATTAGTATTTGTTAGCATGCAGGCACAAGAGTCCCTATACCCTAATCTCAGTCTACAGATTGGATACAGGTGGCTAACTCCTTGGGCAGTTAGCTGGTGCAGTGGATAGAGTTCTGGGGCCTGGAGTAAGGAAGACTCATTATTATGCTTTCAAATCTGGCCTCAGATGCTTTCTAGCTGTATGACCCTGGGCAAGTCACTTAATCCTGTTTGCCTCAGTTTCTCATCTGTAGAATGAGCTGGAGAAGGGAATGGTAAGCCACTCAAATGTGTTAGCCAAGAAAACCCTAAATGGGGTCATGAAGAGTCAGACACGACTGAAATGACTGAATGATGACTGATAACTCCTTTAATGGCCAGAATTCTGTGGAAACACAGGATAAAGCATATGTATAATGTGAAACCAAAGAAAAGCAAACCAAAAAACAACATGCATTTGTTAAAGGAAATACAATTTCATGTGAGCAGGAAAACTGAGGGTTGCCTTTCTACTCTCCTCTTTCTTAGAGCTGATTGTGTAGCATTTGATGACACTGTGTGACTTTAGGCAGGTCATTTAGTCTCTATGTTCCTCAGTTTTTTTTGATTGTAAAAAGGGTTTAAAAATACCACCTACCTCTCAGGATTGCTATGAGGATCAAATAATGAGATAATACTTACAAAGCCCTTAGCACAAGGTTTGGCATGCAGTAGGCACTTAATAAATGCTTGATTCCTTCCTTCCTCACTAATTAGCATCAGGATCAGAATTGCATTTTTCACCTTTTTCTTTCACTTTTTGATGACTTAAATTTTCATTGTTGTGTCAATAATTTATCAGCTACTCTACTTTTAGTGTAGAGTTCCAGAAGATGTCTAAATAGTTGAATTTCCTCCAAAATGCTCTGTCATACCTCTATGATAGGTTTACACTCCATTTCTTGCTTTCAACATTCATTTCCATCTTCTGATTGAGTGACCTTTTGTATTCCCCCAATATTATTTTTTTTCTTTCTCTTCACCCATTGAGTGATGCAAAATTGTTAAAAGATTAAATTGGGATCCAATTAAGAGAGACCTAGTTTCTAGGACCAGAGAGACAATAGTCCTGCTGTACTTGGAAAGCTGCTTTGGGAAAAGCATGATGTTTCTTTCTGGGTCTTACATCAAAAGAAGGACATTTGTATATTTTTTGTTTGTTTCATGAGAAAAGTATATTCATTAATTCACCTGTCCATACAAAGTTAAAATGATAGCATCCGGATAAACATGGCAAACAAATTAAGGATTCTTATATTCTTTTACAACATAGGCTCTGTAAATGCAAGGATTTCCTGGCACATAGAAGATGCTTATTATTAAAATTATCATCATTATTAATAATAATAATAGCTAGCATTTATATAGTACTTTAATGTTTGTAAAACACTTCATAAACATTATTTCATTTTATCCTCATAAGAACTCAGAAGTGTAGGCTTGTTATTCTTATTTTGTAGATGAGGATGCTGACTGAGGCAGCCTGAAGTTAAATGAATTGCTCAAGGCCACACAACTAGTAAGTATATAATGCCAGATTTGAACTCAGGCCTTCCTGACTCCTGGTATAGCACTCTATCTTTTTTATTTTATTTTATTTTTTATTAATTTATTTTTAGTTTTCAACATTCACTTCCATAAGATTTTGAATTTTCAATTTTCTCCCCCTCCTCCCCACCTCCCTCCCTAAGATGGCATGCAATCTGATATAGGCTCTACACATACATTCCTATTAAGCATATTAGGAAGGACATTGATGTTATTGTTGTTGTACAGTTGTTTCAGTTGTGTCTAACTCTTCATGAATCCATTTGGGGTGTTCTTGGTAAAAATACTAGAGTAGTTTGCCATTTCCTTCTCCAGCTCATCTTAAAGATGAGGAAACTGAGTCAAATAGTCTTAACTGTCTTTCCCAGGGTCACACAGCTAGTAAGGGTCTGAGGCCAAATTTACATACAGGTTTTCCTGACTCCAGGCCCAGCACTTTATTCACTACACCACCTGGCTGTCCCAGAAAGGACATTGGTATGCCAGAAAGCATTCAGAGAAAGATGGTGGTGCACAGACAGCAAATCAGTTGAACTCTCCTAATATTCCCCTCCAAACAACTTTAAAATAGCACCTCATATCGAATTTTGGAGAGACAAAGCCGACAAAAGGTCTAGTGAGATATTTTTCTATCCCAAGATAAATTAGGAGGTTGACAAGAGAGATCTGGGACCCTGGGGTGGAAGTCTGGTTATAGTGCAGCCCACACCACAGCAATGCCAGCATCAGACACTGAAGGCATCTGCAACGGCAGCGCAATTTGAGGAACTCTCAGCCTGCAGATAGAAATGGGGTATGACAATTGGTGAGACAGAGATCACAAGAGACCATTTGCTGCCCCTGGGTGTAGGACCCTGTTGCATTTCCCATAGGCAGTTTTGAGTTGTAGTTCCAGGGTAAAGAGGAGCACTAGTGATTGTGGCAATAAAGGAGAAAAGTTCTTTTCTGGGTAAATATGAAAGTGTAGGCTGACAGAGAAATGACCATACCTCTCCTTAGATCATACCACCTTAGAAGCACTGAAAACTTAAAGCCACATAGGACTAACTCTGAAAACACCAGCATGAAAAACTTAAAGCTTAGGACAGTGCTCCCTCTATCCCAGGAGCATAGCCCCACTTTAAAATAAAGTTAAAAGTCAAGAATTG